CTTCAAATCTTGATCTTTCTCCTGCTCTGCCTTAATATCTATACCTGGGATGGTAGAAAAGTACAATTGGACGCTGGGACAGGAATTGGCAAAGTTTTGTAATAGCCGCCAAGATGACTGGGATGTCTTACGCCCTCCACTGTTGATGACCTATAGTACAGCAGTGCATGAAGCCACTGGATACACTCCAGCAAAGCTAATGTTCGGTCGAGAACTTCGGTTGCCAGTGGACCTGATAACAGGACGCCCACCTTACGAAGAGTTGCCTGAAAATGTGCCAGAGTTCGTGAAAGTTTTATCTGAAAGGATGGATCATATTCACCAACAAGTGCAGTCGGACTTAAAAACGTCAGCTGATTCCATAAAGTTATGTTATGATAAGAGATCCACTGAAGTCAGCTTTGTACCAGGAGACAAAGTGTGGTTGTTTAAGCCCAGGAAGACCAAAGGGAAGTCTCCTAAGTTGTCATCTCCATGGGAAGGCCCATATGACATAGTGGATCGTCTCTCAGACGTGTCTTTTTGGATAAAATGTGATCGGCGAGGTAAGCCAAAGGTGGCGCATGCCAACAGGCTTTGGCGTTATCATGGTCCAGGACAATGCAGTTGGAACGAAATGAACAACAGAACAAATGATGCTACTGAAGACATGTCACCTGAAAAACCACTGTTGAAGAAGAAACTCTACCCTGTTTTGAGAAGGAAAACAGTGAAGCCGTTAATGAATCTACTACCACTAATGTGACTGCTACCGATAATGAGACATTTCCTGATGGAGCAGATGAATCCCACGTGAAGCAGAAGCCAATGAAATGGAGATCAGTATGAAAGAAGAAACGTCCTGTAAAATTAAGAGACTTTGATGTATTTTAATTTTGTGTTTGTAAATTCTGTACATTTAATTAAGTTATTGTTAATTATATTTTGGTTTTATGTAAGTGGCTATTGTTCAGGACGAACAATACTAAGGAAGGGGCAGTGTTACGACAGCAGAAGTCATACGACACTGGGATCATGTGTGCTGGAGTTTCTCGAAGAATCATGAAGGCCCGAGTGCATTCGAGACGCCCTCTTTTTAGTATATAAGCCTGGCTAGAAAAACCAGTGCGATTGAAGAGATAGATAATTGAGTCAAGCGAACAGTAGGCACCATCACAGTGATTTATAGCGTATGTTATAAAAGTTGTTAAGTTTAAAGTGACTGTG